AATGCTCTTTTGACATGTTTCAATATGGGTCAGCAAAGCTGTTAGGACAAATTTGAGTGTAACACCATCGAGGCTACGATGGTTTACAAGGAGCTGTTGCCACGACTAGATAGGCTCCCTTCATTTTCTAGTTGGCAGTGGGGTTTCTATGCCACTGTGTAGCATTTCGTCATCACTTCCTAAAAATGGTTACTGAAACTAAACAGGACATGCTGGAGTTAAAACTAATAGATGTTGAAAAGCAGTTACTTTTACTGAAATGACTGCAATGCAGATAAAAGAGAGGATGGTGGAGAAGATGGTCTGTGCGACCACTGAACCAAGAGAACGAGGGGAATTGCCGTGCTTGTCCAGCCACTTAGAGACATGAATGGGGAAATGAGATGCAAGCAGTCACAGTTGTCTGTGTTGCCACAATGTGTATTTAAATTTCTGGATAGGTGCAGGTCGGGCTACAGCGCAGGGTACGACACTATGTGTTACCTACATCGTACCTATGATGTAAATTCAGCACAGAACCATAAATCAAGCTTAAGGCCACCACTCCATGAGGTGGTCATCTGGTCGTCACTTGGAAAGCTTTTCCATCAGCCTAGGATTTCAAATCATGGTCCAAATGTGGCTTGAGTTCTGAATTAATCACCAACAGTGTCACCAGCAAAGCATCACGTCCTCCTCCTCCTCCATGCTTTACAGTGAGAACCACACAATGCAGATACCATCCATTCATCTTCTCTGTGTTTCATAAGAACATAGTGGTTGGAACCAAAAAGTTGCACCCATTGCACCACTGGTCTAATGTTCACTCCTTGTGTTCCTTGGCCCATGTGGTTCTCTTCTTCTCTCTCAGTCTTGGCTTCTTTGCAGTAGTTCGATCATGAAGGCCTGATTCACAGTTGATGCGTCTGCTACTCTGTGAAGCACTGATGTGGGCTCTAGTCTGAGATGCTGCTATTTGGTGATGTCTGATGCTGTACATTACATTCATCACGTGGACACCAACACTGCACCACATGAATGATTAAACTGCTCTGTAACTACAGCAATGTTGGGGAAACTACTTGGAAAATGTAGCTTTGCAAACGATCAGTTACTTTACACTGGAAAAAGTTAGCTACTCCAGAGAGAAATGCAGTTTTGTAAATGGAAGTTACTTAGAAAACATAGTTCAACATACTTTGTAAAAAATGATCAATCTGACAATGAAACAATCTCACATGTCAGCAATAAATGCCAATCAGCTGAGTTTATTTACCTAAGAAAAAAACAATCTGTCCTAAATAAAACAATCTCAAAATGATATTATATATTTCTTGTAAACAAATTTCATTTGTAGTATCTGAAACAACTATAAAATATATTATATATAAATAAAAATGAGCCTGTTGTGTTACTCGCCCATTTTGCAACACCTGACTTGTACAAACTTAATAACTAAACCAGTCTTGAACTTGCACCTTTTAGACCATATGAACAGCTTGAACACTGGTGAAATGAAAGCAGGAAGAGAATAAAGAAGCAGAACTTTAGAACTTCAGCAGCAGCAATACCAGCAGTCCTGACACTCACCGTTGCCTTGGCTTCTGCTTGCTTGGCTTTTTTCAGACGGGCTTTGCAGATGTCAAGATCCAAACGTCGATTCTCCAGAAGTCGCCTCTCTTTCTGCACAGGACAAGAGGGATGGAGTCAGAAACAGGTGCTGCAGGGAACAAACCTTACTACACTCAGTTTCTATGTATTTAACAGAACAATGACACAGCTAGCTATAATGAGACATTCAATCAAAACCAGCCCAAAATCAGATTCAGTGGAGAGGTCCACTTGAGTGGTATAAATATAAACCCAATGTCTAACCCAGAGTGCACTGTGAACAAGTGTCTGTGTCAGTGAAACCCATTTTAAAATACTGGGGGTGGCTGTGGCTCAGGAGGTAGAGTGGGTCGTCTCCTAACCGGAAGATTAGCAGTTTGATTCCCAGCTTGTCCAGTTCACATGTCGAAGTGTCCTTGAGCAAGACACTGAACCCCCAGTTGCTCCTGGTGATGACACCGGTGCGTGAATGTGTGTGTTTGGGAGTGCGAATGGGTGAATGGCCAAATAGTGTGAAAGCGCTTTGAGTGTGTTGCACTGCAGAGAAAAGCGTTATACAAGTATAAGACCATATAAGCACCAAGGACTTAGAATATATATCCCAAGTCCCTTATATGATCATTCCTTGGTCTTTAATCCTCACTCAACCCAGAAGTCGACCAAGGATAGAGGACTGAAGTCACTGAAGTCTTGTGTGGACTGACAAGAAATCAGTTGGTGAATGGACATTTCAGGTGAAAGGAATTCTCCTATTGTTAATAAATATCTTTCATCAATTTCTCTCTCCTTGTGTTTTCTCCTTGCATCTTGCTGTATGTGGGTGGGACTAAGATGCAAGGAAAAGAGGGAAGTGACTGAAACACTAGTCCTTATAAGTGACTTGGGATGTACCCAGTCAAGTCAACTTACAGATATAGTCCTCCAATCTCCTTCCAGGAAGTTGCGAAGGGGGGTGAGGAAGGTAACAGCTGAGGTTTGGAGGAGCTCACGTTCAGCTCCTCCTAGTCTCTTCTGGTACTCGCCTACGGTGATCAGGGTACTTCCTATAATTGGCACAATGCACAAATACACAATTGCATTACACTTTATTTAAAATATAGCGGCTTTACAAAGTCCCATATAAGTACACTACCAAAACAAGACATTTACAAACTTAAATGACAAATTATTTTGCACAAAACTACAGCCTGACTTTAAGAAGCACATTCATCTGATTCCACAACTAAATGATGATAAATTTTTTTGGAGGGGGGGGGGAATTGACATTTTTGGCCTGATGGTCAAGGCATGGCCAAAATTATTAAGAATCAATCTATTGAGACCGTTAGGAAGTGCAGGTTACTGTATATGGAGGCTAACAGATAACAGTGATAGAATGGTTACAGCACAGCACACAGTGTACAAGGAAACTGCAACTGATCCCACGTGATTTTGAAAAACATCCTCACTTTCAGGTACAGACCGACTGCCTCTGTGGTCTTCTTCATTACTGTATATCCAAACACATGTGACAGCAACAGCTCAGAGTCTCATTAAATGAAGCAATATCAGTTTCAGTTACAGCTCACACTGACCGTACGGTGTCTCCGAACCAAATTCACCGGCAGCTTCCAGCATGTACTGGCCCAGCAGTTCTGCATTGGTCGCCCTGGAGGGAAGCTTCTTGTCCAGCTTGTCGTAGATGAACTCCTCTATTCGAGCACCTGGAGAATAGGTGATAGAGAGACCACTGTGAACCCAAAACTGTGCCTGTTTGATGCAGCGTTCTAGCAGCCTCAATCAAGATTACTGACATAAAATGGAAAATAAAGCTGCTGCAAAGCTCTTGATATTCACCAGACAAATAGACAAACAGATATGAGCTCTGAGCCCGAGTGTTCTTCTGTGGACATTGTTTTAATAATTAGCCACATTTACTCTGAAGGTACTTTGTAATATTAATGAGTGGGATGGCCAAGGCTGACGCACAGACTCAGTGGCACATTTGAAATGAAACCCCTAGTTCTATGAAAAAATAAACCACATATTACTAAGAATCCAGTTGTTTATTTTGTGTAAAAGTGAGACAAACATAGTGCTTTCTTTTTAAATTCTAAAGCGCATGAACATATTTAAGGCAACAATTTGTCATTTTTTCATTTTTCATTCATTAATACTGACAAGCATCACATTTTGGTTCTGGCAGGGGCAGCAGCAAAAGTAGATGCGAGAGAGAGAACAGAATCATGAGCATAACAGATGGTTTGAGCGAGCGGCGGAGATCCTCCCTCGCTCTCCAGTCTGATTCGGCTTTTACAAATCTGTGTCTACATGCTCTTCAGTACCGAGTTGCAGACTGAGTAAAGCTCAAAATGTGGTTTGTGCACCCTCAAATGTTTTGGCGGGGATTTACTTCCATATTCCAAGTTGGACTGTTATCAGGAAATGAGGCCCAGGACCTTATTAGTGTTGGCTTTTCTTATTAGTGCTGCCAGTTATTTTGACACCACTATTTGAATGCTAGGTTTGTTTGAATATTTCCAGTATCCCTGAAGGAAGCATTGGCTGTATCCGGTGGCAGGTGTCTTCCTGCACAGAAGGTCATTAGTAATTCGACACCTCTCTGTATTCACACAGTCTCAGTCTGTCCATACATGTTTGTGCTTCTACTTAGTTTGTATTTTTGTTTAAGTTTCAAGATGTGATACATGTCCTTGTTCAATCCCTATGTGAAATGTGGAGCCATACTGTAGGACTGTACATGCTGCACAGTAGGTCATTTGTATTTGTTAATGCTGAAGGAAGTACACTGACTTCATACAGTCTTTCCTTACACAGCACTCTGGTAAATAAGACCAAGACTTACCAGTGTGGTCAACTGGAGCATGGGGGGTTTAAAAATACACAGAACAAAAGTTAGACAGAATCCATTATAAGGATCTGAGAATGAATGTATGTATCACTATGACAACTGTTAAATGGGTAATTGAGGGGATATGCAAACCATTAACCCATATTTTTAACATGTCGTTTCGACTTGGGCAGTTCCCCAAAAATATGAAAATAGCAAAGGTTATTCCACTGTATAAATCTGGTGATAAGCACAACTTCACAAATTATAGAC